CCCGCCTCAAAGCCAACGCTGATTGGACGTTCGTTTGGTGAACGGCTCCAAATTTTCTTTAACGGAGAGTCTCCAGACTGATCTGCAAGTGAAACCTTGAAAGCTCGCGAGATCAGGATGGTCTCACTAGGCTAGACCGTTGATAAATGATTGGCCGAATTTAGGTGTTCAGGCTGACGTAGAACTAACTGGCCTGCAGAAGATAACGGAAAAAAAAACGATTTTAAGACAGGATTTTTTTAAATAGAAATTTTCAACATTTTCTGACAATATCGTCTGATAAAGAGAACATTTATAAACATGTTTAAGCCTGAATGATTTGACATGTATGATTTCCCTACGAGTTTAATAATTATGCGTTTTATTTTATAATAATCTCTAAAGTCTGACTCAGCTTGAGCTTCTTACACAGAAAGCTTAGAAAAAAAATATTTTCTAGAAGCAACCTGCAAATATGTGATTAATGATATACTAGCCACTAAATGCAGGTAATGCGCTGCCTATATATTATGTAGTTAGTGTTTGGCCACACAAGCCGACACACACTCATGCTTTCTGTTCACATTAACCATTATCCTGCTGCATTTTGTGGCCGTTTTCCGCACAGATACCCTCCCTAATGGATTTCTCTACATACTCGCTTTAATGGCGCCGTACATTCAGGAATTCAGCCGCTCTAAAAGGGGGGGGAGGGGATTACGATGTTACGGCGAGTTAAAAACAAACACAGCCCTGCGTCTACGCCACCATTACTCTCCGGTGGCTAAATGCGAGGAGGATGACCTCTGTGTGTGTTTACAGACTCGACGCGGAGCGGCGGGAGTCTGTTAGACGTTGAAGAGCGTGTGAGCGGCGGGCGGGCGGGAGGCGCCGTCACCTAATGGGACACAGTAGGAGCTGGGAGGGAGTCCTGGTGGAGTAATTAGCTGCCCTGAATCCTCTAAACGAGGCTCTTTATAGTTACAGAGCAGGAAGGAGTTTAAAGGGATCTCTGCAGCGGAGAAGCGTCGAACATGACCTCACTTCACCTTTTCTAAAGAGAACAAAATCATAAAACAGGATGGAGAGCGTGGAAAAGGGAGAGAGTAACCAGAGCGGGACGGCAGCCTATAAGTCTTTGGCTCCGTGAACATTTTTCATGGTTGAGAGGGAATAAAAACAAAAACAAGGGGGGGGATGGTACGTTGATGAATATGTGAAGGTGGCGAGGGACTCAGCTGTGCTGTAGAACGCCCCGTGGCGTGCAGGTTTGGTTCCCTTCTGTAAACTACAGATGAACTAAGCAGCGTCGGGCTCATCGGGGAGGAACTGGTTGCGGGGACACAAACCAGCAGCGAACCCGACAGATGTGCTCGTTCCATCAAACACTAACAGCTAAGGAGAAATGTAGCGTGACCATTTTCACCGCTTTCGGTCTGCTGCGCCGTTTCCATCACCGACTTCTTCTGTTTCTGCTGGTTCCTCACAGACCAGCAACTCAAACCTGAAAACCAGACAGAAGATTAACCAAAAGAAATTAAACAAGCAGTTCTGAAAAACATGGTTTCCTTTATCAGGGGGGGTGGGGGACGTTTAGCAGAGCAACTTCAAGATACGTTAGAAAGTAACATCCCCCCAAAGCTGATAAATGGCGCCATCAAACACTCCCAGTCAGTTTTGGAGAAAGTATTTAGAGCTTACTGTCCTCCCAACACCCTGCTGTCCCATTTGACCCAAACTATGACGAGGTGAAACTCCTGGAAACACCTTGATGATTTAGACCAGCGTATGCTGACGTACGAAAACTCTGGCAAAAATGTTAGCATACGTTGGA